GGAGGGAGGGAGGGAGGGAGGGAGGACAAGCGAGCAGGAGGAAGGAAGCTGGGAGTCAGCCCTCGAGTCCCATGCACTGCGGTGGCTGGTGAGGAGCCAGCACTCTGAACTTATCCTTATCTTCACAGGTGATGTGTCCCTGCCAAGTGAGCCAGTGCCAAGAGGAAATTCATCACTTCTGTGGCTTCCTGACAACTCCAGCTAACAACTGATCTCACCCTCCCCTCTGGGAGGCTCAGACAGAAGCATCAGAGCCTTCTATGGAGACTCTTAACTCCCTGCTCTATTTGCAGTTCATTTTCATACTTCCCCAAAGTTGTCTCACAAGGGTTATCCCTATTCCCAAACCAGACTATGAAATACTCATCACATGCGTTTTAGATTACTCTTCTGTAGGAAGGCAATTATGAATCAGAACACCACTAAATTTCATGCAGTGTTACTAAGAAACTGAAAATGCTTCACAGAGGTTGGGATAGGCACTCATAGACAGTTGTTGGCGTGGAGAGAGCTATTTAAAGTGAATAATAGATTTTAGAAATATACTACCAGATATCATGAGAATATCTCATTAGTCCCATAAGGGTGGAGGTGACCCTTAAAGGAAAGGACCCCTGTCAGCTACCCTTCAAAGGGTAGATTAGAGAGTAGATCTGGATCTGGCCAACCCTTGGTGCTGTCTCTTGTTATGGAATTGCCTGGAGCACTTCTGTTGGGCCTGTGGCTTTCCTTGTCTCAGGAAGATAACCTGGGAGAAAGGCAGGGGCGGAGCCCTTAGGAAAGGGCCGCAGCCTGGCCCCGATGCAGTATGTTTGACTCACTCTCTGTGCCACGCCTCCTTCATCATGGCAACTTCCTGTCCTACACTGGGTCAGGGAGAGGTCCACAACCAAGTGAGGTCAAAGTGATACAAGGAAATGTCAGGTCTCTTCCCTTGAGGTCAGAGGGCCACAGGACTGGGCAGCTGCCAAAGCCTTCACTTGCGGTTACCTTGGGCAAAACACTTAACCAAAGCATCTTGTCTCACTTCCTCAGTGGTAATAAGAAAAGAAACAATGTCTACCTTTCAGGGTTGTCATGAGGATTAGTGCAAATATGTGCAAAGTAACTGGAATTTTATATATGTTTGTTCACCTCATTCCACAAGCTGTAACCACCATATGCCAAGCATCAGGCATTAGTAATACAACAGTGAGCAAGATAGATCAGGGTACGGCTCCACCAGTGTTTATGTTCTGTTGAGGAGTGGGGCAGACAGAAACTTTTTTTTTCCTTTTTCTTTCTTTCTTATTTATTTATTTGGTTTTTGGTACTGGAGATTGAACCCAGGGATGCTTCACCAGTGAGCTACATCCCCCATCCTTTTATTCCTTATTTTGAGACAGGATCTCGCCTCTCACCAAGTTGCCCAGGCTGGCTTTGAACTTGGGATCCTCCTGCCTTAGCTTCTCAATTCTCAGGATTACAGGCCTGCACCACCACACTTGCCAGATAGAAACTCCTTAAAAGTATTTCCCAGCTTCACAACTTGTTATTTGATAAACACCATGCAACTTTTTAGGACCATTGTCAAGTTTTGGGGGAAACCTCTAAATTTCTCTCCTATGTGAACAATAAGCTTTGAAAATAAAAGCCCTACAGACTTGCTTCTGACTCCTCACATTTCAAATTCACTTTCCTCCCATGCATTCTGCGTCTTCTCTGGGCGTCTTCTGTTGCTGGGTGTCAAGAAACACATTCACATTGAGATGCCTGCACAGGATGATCATGACTGATGGGCAGTGAATATTCCGAGAATTCCAGGGAATCACAATTGCTCCAGGGCACCTGGCAACAACATAGCCATACAAGCCAGCGACTGGAAACCTCTTACATAGTTTCTCTCAACTCAAATTAAATGAATTCCTAAGTCAACAACCCCTCCCCAAAAATGTCTATAGCCCTCTTATGCCACCTGAAGACAAGAAGTGTGAGGGAGGGGAATTGGGGTAAAAAGATGCTGGATCCGTACATTTTAGCTGATTGTGATTAAAATATTTTACTACTGCAACATTTCCAAAAACTCACAGGCAAGTGACTAGATTACTAGGTCCCTCCCAGGACTTAGAAAGAACTGGTGCCAGTGAGAGACTGAAATATAAGCTTCTTGAACTTCATAAATCCACATCTGCCAGCGAGCCACTCTCTGAGGACTGATAGATAAGCTGAGAGCACTTAGATGACACTCAGTAAATTATTACTAATGGGGACTCTTGATGAATCCACTGTGGTCCTTGAAGGCAGAGATCACTGGCTCCACCCTGAGACTCAGACCAATTTAGGAAAGGATAGGAATATATGCACTTCCTCAGGAAGGCCTCTAAATAAAAGTTGCCTGCATCAGAGCCCCCTGCACCCATTGCCCCCACCCCAAATTACCCTTATGGCCACTGGCTTCTCATGCATACAGGTGATGAAATGGTAACCTCTGCAGCACTGGTTGGAATTAGTAAAGATTTAAAATCAGTGCATTGTTTGGCTGTGATTTGTCGACTTTCTTCTTGGACTCGCTCTGGGTCTCTGGGTGAGGGAGTCTATGCCTGCCAGGTGTTCTTGATTAAGCATGATCTCTCAGCCTCATCATTATTTGTTTGCCTGCCTATCTCATTTGCAAAAATGAGCTGTGCCAGGGCAGGGGCCCTGTCTCATTTCTGTTTGCATCCTAAGGGCCTAGTACAAAGCCTAGCAGATAGACAGCAATAGATTCATGCTGCAAGATGAATGCATTAACTGTCCATTCAGGAGTGTATTAAAGCAGGAAAAAAAAATCATCCTATTAGTTTTCTTTATTTTATCTCCGATTCCCAAGAATAGGTAAGTTAATGCTTTATTCAATTTGGTCAATAAATACTTGACTCTGAACTACTTAAGAATATTTCTGGTTTTCAGGTCAGCAGAAAGTATGAGCAAGTTTACATAAATAATTGTCATTGTCTCATAGACACATTCACAAAATAAAGGAGAAATAACGTACAATATGCAGTTTTCATCCTGATTACACTGCACCAAAATATGGGACAGATTCCCTTTCTTATTTTGAGAAGGACAAGAGAGCTTCTTGTGTTCCCTTTGTCAATAAATAAAAGGTCCTTGTGTTTGCAAGGATTTCACATGATGTACCATAAAAAAAAAAAAAAAAAGAAAAGGCGTGTAAAGTTTTTTCAGAGCAAATGCACTTGCTGAATTTGCTTAAACCTCCTAATTGCTGAGATTCAGGGATAAACCTACTCATGTGCAGTGTGCTATTAGAAAGGTCACAGATGTCTGTGTTTTTTTCTCTGGGTTTCCTCTTTCCTCTCTAGCTTTCACAGATTAAAAAACAAAATAAAACCCTTATTTTTAAATTTAAGCTGAAAATTTAAAAGCTGACTTTCAAGGGACTAACAATATCTGATATTTGGCTAAATTAACAGTAGGGAAAATATTTTTTCCTGCATTTAAGCTACCAACATTGTTTAGCAACAGCAACTTAAATCCTTTATAAAGTTTCCAAAATACTCAAATAAACACTGAACTAAGACAAAAGTCTATGTAACTCTAAATATGTTAAAGGAGTGAAGCAATATTGATATTTCCTTAATTAAATCTGAAATTCTGAAACCAGTAAATGAAGATTGACTCTGGATATTTGGAAAAGATCAACACCTATCAAATATCTATGTAAGGCAAGAAGAGACTTATTTGTTTGTTTGTTTGTTTGTTTGTTTGTTTGTTTTGGTACCCGGGATTGAACCCAGGGGCATTTAGCCTGAAAGCCACATCCTCCGCCCTTTTCATTTTTTATTTAGAGACAGGGTCTTATTAAGTTGCTTAGGGCCTTGTTAAGTTGCTGAGACTGGCTTTGAACACTCAGTCCCCCTGCTGTAGCCTCCTGAGCTGCTGGAATTACAGGCATGTGCCATAGTGCCTGGCAACATTTACTTTTATTAATGAAGGAATAACAAAGGCTGGTAATTTAACTTGATTAAGTTAAGGTCAAGGGAGTGGGAATGGGAATAAGAAAGACAGTAGAATGAATTGGACCTAACTTTTCTATGTTCATAAATGAATACACCACCTGTGAAACTTCACATCATATGAAGAATGGTATCCTAATTAGAACAAGTTATACTCCAAGTATGTAGAATATGTCAGAATACACTCTAAAATAACAAATAAAAAAAAAGAATTCTTTGAAAAAAAATTTTTTCAATGATGGTTTTGTTATTAAAATACTAATTCAACCAAAAAAAAAAAATCGAGGTCAATTCATATAGCTCCAGGGGAAGATGCTCTACCTCACTGCCCTATTTCTAAGGGTAATTTTGAATGATATCAGAAGTTTTTGCCTAACTCCCCTAAACTATTTCTGCCCACTAGTCTATGATGTATGTGAAAATCCCAGCATCTACCTCATTATTGGGCTCTGCTAAAATACGTTAGCTTTTATCAATCACTGACACCTTAGGTTGATAATTGCACTGGGAAGGATGTGAAGAAATGAACAGTATGTTGGCAGGTGGGCTACAGGGTCAGGAAAGGGGACATAGCCAAGGGTGTCCTAAAATCAGTAAAAGTTACTGGCTCCTAGGAAAGAGATATCCCCTCCCTGGTGGAACTTATAGAATGAGGTGGTCCAGAAGGACCATGCGGCCTGTGATCAACTCACACAAGTCAGGCCCTCCTGGAAGGCTTTTCAGGAGATGACAGATACCCTTCTCCAGAGCCTGTGTTTCTTTCTTTCTCAAAGTGTTATCATAGTGGCCAAATGCATGGGACTGGGCAGCCAGACTGAGATTTAGTCCTCAATCACAATTTCAGTCCTATGACCCTGATTGCAACACCTTTTCTATTTTTGGTTTATGCATGCAGGTCCCATTAAAGTGTAATTTTATGAGGACTTTTTGTTCAGAGCTATAGAAGAGAGCTTCCTGCACGGTAGGTGCTTGACACTTATTACTTGAAAGAATAAAAGAACAATAAGTGAATAAAATGGAAGGATATAGTGCTTAATCTCCTCAGGTCGAGTTTTCTTGTCTATAAAATGAAAATAATAATAGCACTTAGGGTGACATCAGTACAGGTAGAAACCAGTGTCAGGATGCAGGAACAGGCTTACCTAGCAAGGAGTCCTTTATGTTCTTCCTGTTTGGGGAGAACATGGTTTCCAGATGTGTAGCTACTGACAAAAGAGCAAAGGTCGAAGCAAAGGCAGGTGGCTCCTGTTAGGCATCCTCTAATTGTGCCTATTCGGAAATTCACTCTGGCCTTTCAAGGAGGAGATTTGGTCATACAGATGTCCTTAGGTTACGCTTCTATTTTTGTTTTTCATGAAATAGTCATTTGTATTTAATGAAGTGAAAAATGATTCAAATAATATGAGATTGAAGAAGGAAGGAAGGAGCAAAACTTGCCAGTTACCTCTCCTAGTTCTCCTTTTCTCATTTGACCTACGCAGCTTGGGCGGGAAAATATTTTTAGAATAGGATATGCTCAGTTATAAACTAAGTGTAGAAATATTGGCATCTTTCCTACATATGACTGTGTTCAGTTGGAAAAAAATAATAATGCACATCATTTTGTAATACCATAACTAAATATTAAACACTGGTGGATAAACTTTACAAGGAATATAAAGGCCTGAATGAAGGATAAAACTTGACTGAAAGACATAAAAGAAAACAATGAAAAGACAATTTATTTCTGGATAAAAAGATCGATTATTTGTAAAGACATCAATTGACAAATTATTTTATAATGTGAGAATTTCCACAGCATTTTTCTTGGACCAATTTTAAGCATCAAGAACTTACAAGAATAATCAATATTATTTTTAATAATAATAAGAAGAAGGTTAATGGAGAATCTGTCTTATTAATTGTTTAATAAAACTAATTATAAAGCTTTGATAATTAAAAGTATAATAATTAAGATTGCTAGTCATGACTCTCTTCCGTTTATCTTATAGCTTACTGAGGGTTATTAACGGTTTGAAAAATAAAGATTTATAAATAGCCCCAAATGGACAATTTGGTTATATGTATTATAGTATAGTCACAATGCAGAATATATTTAGCTATTAAAAAATAATGTGGTAGAACTATATTTATTGGCATGCAAAGATGTTGACAATATGTTAGTAACAATATAATTTATTAGAATCACCCATTTTGAAAGAACAAAATACCATATATACTTATATATGCAGAGGAAAAGAATATAGACAAATAACTGCCAATATATTAACAATAGCCTATTTATCTCTAGGTGCTAAGTACATGAGCGAATGAAATCTTTTTACTTATCTATAATGAATATATGTTAATAATTCAAATACAAATTTTAAACATTTTAGACTGTTAAATAATGTATGAATTCTGTTTATCCTTTTTAGTCTAATTTTTGGGAAAAAATGCAAATCTGGCCTTTAATATATATTTGATATTTATTATATTATGTCCTATCAAAAATATAGCTTCAACAAAAAATTTAATAAAGTCAAGCTTTCCTGATTTTCTTTAACATTAAATGTGTAGCATTAAGCAATTCGTAACCAAGATAAATACATTTTTAGTTGTAAAACAGAAGGCACTTTTTCCAATTCCTGCCACAGAACTTCTCTAAGAATAATACAGCTGCTTAGCTACTCCTGCCTTTGAGGGGGAAAAATATCATCATTCAACTGCTGCTTTGCCTGTCTATTCAAGTCCAGTCGCTGCTATGCAATACTGTGGCCTCTTGTCATGCTACCATGCTGCAGTGGTCCAGGCTTACAACTGGCTCTAACCACAGCTGGTAGAACTCAAGATTTATTTATGCCCAGGGCTGCTGAATAAAGCACTTACTCATGGGGACATTTTTACCCCCGGACATGTATACCCAAGGCAATGGGAAGAAGTCACAGACAGACAGTCTGGACCTGTGTGTTTATCTCAGGAGAACAGACACTGGTGAGAGAAGACTGCTTGCGGGTTTCCAATAGTACGTCTTTAGCCCTGAATGATTAAGTTGCCAATGTCATTGATCTTGTCCTCTCTCACTGCTGCCCTGAATTTCACCCACTTGT